AACTCTTTAACATTTAGAAGTAGTAATTGGTTATGAGGCACCTATTTAGTCCTATAAGGTCAGCATGTAATCTTGTGTATTTCAAACAGGGAGGCAGTTGATTTCTCCTTTTGCTAGTGTGCTTCCTGGATTTTCTCCGTGAATGTATCTCATTGTCTTTGGCTAAAACTTAGAGATGAATTCTTATTGAGTGAAGTTTCTTCACATTTATTATGTTCAAAGATGATTCTGAACTGCCTCATACTTAATCAGATTTCCAGGATTTTGTTTCCTCATCAGATCTTTGAAGTGTGATAAGACATTTCTTTTAATATATTTTACCAGATGATGTGCATATTGTCTTTCACCGCACATAGCCTGAAGTGAAGGGATTATTAACTAGGGAAGAGACAGATCCCAAGGCAGAGCATTAACCAACAGATAGGCTATGTGGGAGACGGTCAGAATTAAATAGCATCTGATGTGTTGGGACAAACAGGATGAGACAGAGTGAGGAACATACCTTGAATCTCCCCTCTGGTGGTAGTTTAGGATTTATAATACGGATGGCAAATATGTCCATTCACTGTCCCTATAATTCTGTAGATTTGAAGTGTTCTTTCCAGTTTCTATGACTGTTTGAATTCCAGGAGTTCATGTTGAATTTTTAAGATATTGTCTCTATTGTTAGTATCTTTTCCATGTTCTTGACTGTATTAAAGGAATCAGGTTTTGTGTTTCTTTTTATTTAGATCTGACAGAGTCTATTTGGCCAATATTCCAGTATTTCTGGGAGACAGACTATGGAATTAAATATGCTTTCTCTCCCTAAAAACAAGCCAGACAGATTTTTAAAGTGTAAAATGTCACATTAAAAAGTATAGCTTTTATATGATTTATTTTTCTTTAGATTTCCAAGTCAACTTTAAGTTGTCTGATATAAGCAACTGCATTAGTCAGAAATGACCTACACTTTCTCATTCCTTATTAACAGGACTAGCCTGTTAATCACTCAACCCTTATTAACAGAACTAGCACAGTTTACTAACATTTGCTTGGCATGAGTGATCCTTGCCAAAATGATCATACAGACTTTTCAAAGATAAACTCAGTTTATTTTTGTAATTGAGACATAATTCACATAATATTAAAGTGTATATTTCCATGTTTTGGGTGTATATTCATTATATTGTGCAACCATCACCACTGTGTACTTCTAGAACATTTCCATCACTCTGAAAAGAAACTCCACATTCATTTCCCCGGATGAACACTTTTGTCTCCATGGATTTGCCTATTCTAGACATTCCGTATAAATGGAATCATGCAATATGTGACCTTTGTGTCTGGCTTCTTTCAGTATCATGTTTTCATCCATGTTGTCACATGTAACAGTACTTCATTCCTCTATGGCTGTATAATATTCCATTATATGGATATACATAGATATATCAAGTTCTTTTCTTAAATTCTGTGTTCCTTTCCTAAAGTATTATTGTTAAATTATTATGAGTTCATTATTTTAAAGGTAGATGTTTAACTTTTGGGTTCTTACAGTGTCAATATTAATAATAGCTGGTATTCGTTGAGTGCCTGTCACATGTCAGGCCCTGTTCTGAATCATTCCTCACAATTGCACTAGTTGCCTTCTAAGATAGATGCTATTATCATCCTCATTTTCCAGATGAGAAAACTGAGGTGCAAAGAGCTTAAATAACTGGACCAAAGTTACAGTTTATAAGTGGCCAAGCCAGAATTCAAACCCAGGCATTCAGGCTCCAAAAATTAAATTATCCTTTGGAAAGAACTTTGCTTTTGAACTTGTGTATAAGCCTTTCTTATATAGTCCGTTTCTCTCTTGTCATCCTTCTATCTCTCCATTTCTTCCTCTATCCCCCTCATTTCAAATCAATCAATAACTGGTTTCTAGGTTATTTGTATGTTTAGAATAAAGCACTCAAATTAGGACTCTTTCACTGGAGTCTCAGAAATCTGTTCATGTAAAAGAATTTATTGGTTCACATTACTGGAGTCTAGGATATAGTAGGCTTTAGTCCAGTTGAGGTCAAGGAGCTCACACAATGTTGTTCAGGCTCCATCTTTCTTTATCTCTCATTCTGTCTTTCTTTGTATATTGGCTTTGTTCTATGGACAGTTTCCTTCATATTGCCAGGGACTTTGGTGGCAGCAGATTGAAACTTACATATAGTCTCAGCTTAACTGCCCAGTGGAAAGCGGTAGTCTTTTCTGAGAGCTCCAACAGCAAAACTCCAGAGAGTGCTCTGATTAGCTTGGCTGGGGTCACACACTTATTACAGAACCATCACTGTGGCCTGACAGATAGCGTACTCTGGCCAGCCTCTGCCCAACCACATACAGTGGGTTCTCCCCAGGAAATAGGTACTTGACTTAAAGAATGGGGATATAGGTGGTGGAGAGACAAAAAATTAGATGTCTGTAACTGAATTATTCAAGACAAAATATATAGTTGTCAAAAGCACTCAAATTCCTAACTTTGGCACTTTTACTTTAGTGAAAACTGTACAGTGTTATCTTTCCAATAGTACTTTGAATTTATATTAAAGTTATATAAAGATTTTGATTTCATTGAAGATAAGCTTTTTTTCAAGCTAATTGTGGTGGACTGATTTATACAGAAGGAAACTAGGCAAAAAATCATAGTGTGTCATCTCAAAGAACTTGTTCAAATTGCAAGGATCCCTGGTTTACTTTTTTTTTTTTTTTAAAGGAAAAGTGATCTTTAATTTTCCTATCCAAAACATGGATTTGACTTTTTAAAACCTTTTTATGATATAAACATTATCAAAAGTAGACATAATATGTAGTCTTTTTTTCCCACTTGCTATATTTCAGGCATTTTTTTAAAGCTGAGAGATATTATACATATATAAAACAGCAATTTTTAGTATATTCACAAGGTTGTACAACCATAGTCACTATCTAATTGCAGAATATTTTCATCACCTTTGAAAGAAACATCCTCTCAATAAGCGCTTGCTCCCCATTTTCTTTACCTCCAGCCTTTGGCAACCACAAATCTACTTTCTGTCTTTATGGAGATACCTATTCTGGATATTTTATATAAGTGAAATCATATGTGGCTTTTTGTGTCTGACTTCTTTCACTTAGCATAACGTTTTCAGGGTTCTTCCATGCTTTAACATGTATCAGTCCTGTTTTATGGCTGAATAATTCTGTTTCTCTGTTCCTCATTCATTTATTGCTTCTATTTTTTGGCTATTAGGAATAATGCTGCTATTTCCATTTGTGTATAAATTTTATGTGAACAGAAGTTTTCAGCTTTCTTGGATATTACATTAGTTTGCTAGGGCTCCCGTAACAAAATACCACAGACTGGGTGGCTTAAACAACAGAAGTTTATTCTCTCACAGTTTCGGAGGCTGGAAGTCCAAGATCAAGGTTTCAGCAGGTTTGGTTTGTCCTGAGGCCTTTCTCCTTGGCTTTCAGATGGGCCCCTTCTCTCTGTCTCCTCACATGGTTTTCTCTATGTGTATGTGCCTCCCTGGTGCCTCTTTCCATGTCTAAATTTCCTTTTTGTAAGGACACCAGTTAGATTGGATTAAGGCCCACACTAATGGGCTCACTTTAACTTAATCACCACTTTGCAGGTCCTGTTTCCAAATAGTCACATTCTGAGGTACTAATGGTTAGGGCTTCAACATAAGGATTTTTGGAGGCCACAATTCAGCCCATAACAGGAATACCTAGAAGTAGAATTGCTGGGTTATATGGTCACCCTATGTTTAACTTCTTGAGGAACTGCCGAACTGTTTTCCAAGGTGGCCGTACCATATTATATTCCCACTAGGAATATATGAGGGTTCTGATTTCTCCACATCCTTTCCAATATTTATTATTGTCTGTCTTTTTGAAGTGATGTTTTATTGTGGTTTTGCTTTGCATTCCACTAATGGCTAATGATGTTGAGCATCTTTTTATGTGATTGTGGGCCATTTGTTTATCTTTTAGCCTAATGTTTTCAAGATTCGTCCATGTTTTAGTATGTATCAGTCCTTCATTCCATTTTATGGCTGAATAATTTTGGTTTTCCCTCATTCATTCATTAATTCTGCTTTTTGGCTATTATGAATAATGCTGCTATGAACAGTTGTGTATAAGTTTCATGTGAACATAGGTTTTCACCTCTCTTGGGTGTAGTATTAGTTTGCTCGGGCTGCCATAATAAAATACCACATTTGGAAAAATGTCTATTCAAACCTTTGCCCATTTTTTAGTTGGTTATTTGTATTTTTATTGTTGAATTGAGAGAGCTCTTAATATACTCTGGATACTAAACTCTTATTAGATATATGATTTATAAATATTTTCTCCCATTCTATGGGTTGGCTTTTCACTTTTTATGAAGTGCAATTTTTCTCTTTTTTCCTTAGTTGCTTGTGTTTTAGGTATCATATCTAAAAAAAACTCTTGCCTAATCCAAGGTCATGAGTACCTATTTTCTTCTAAGAGTTTTATAACTTTGCTCTTACATTTAGATCTTTGATCTATTTTGAGCTAATTTTTTTATGTTTTATGAGGTAGGGTTCCCATTTCATTTGCATATGGATGACCAGTTGCCCCAGCACCATTTATTGAAAAGACTATTCCTTCCCATTGAATTGTCTTTGTACCCTATTGAAAACCAAATCATGAATGTATGGATTTATTTCTGGACTCTAAATTCTATTGCATTGATCTTTGTCCTTATGCAAGTTTCAAACAATCTTGCTTACTGTTGCTTTATAGTAAATTTTGAAATCAGGAAGTGAGAGTCTTCCTATTTTGTTCTTCTTTTTCAAGATTTTTTGGCTATTCCGGGTGTCTTGCATTTCCATGTGAATGTTAGGATTAGCTTGTCAATTTCTATAAAAAAAACCAGCTGGGATTTTTATAGGGATTCAACTGAATTTGTAGATCAATTTGAGGAATATTTCCATCTTAAGTTTTCCAGGCCATGAACATGAGATGTCTTTCCATTTATTTAGGATTTCTTTAATTTCTTTAAACAATAATCTTGTAGTTTCCAGTATACAAGTCTTGTACTACTTTTGTTAAATTTATTTCTAAATGTTGTATTCTTTTTGGTGCTATTACAAATGAAATTGTTTCCTTAATTTCATCTTGTAGTGTTTATTGCTAGTGCCCTGATTTACTTTGTTAAAATATTGTGCAAAACTACAGTTGACCCTTGAACAACATGGGTTTGGACTGTGAGGGTCCACTTATAAGTGGATTTTCTTCCATCTCTGCCACTCCTGAGACAGCAAGACCAACTCCTGCTCTTCCTCATCTTCCTCTGCCTACTCAATGTGAAGACAGTGAATATGAAGACCTTTATGGTGATCCACTTTGGTGAATAGTAAATACATTGTCTCTTCTGTGTGATTTTCTTAACATTTTCTTTTCTCTAGCTAACTTTATTGTAAGAAAACATGTATGTAATACATATAACATACAAAATATGTGTTAATCGACTGTTTATGTTATCTCTAAGGCTTCCAGTCATCAGTAGGTTATTAGTAGTTAAGTTTTTAGAGAGTCAAAAGTTATACTTGGATTTTTTTACTGTGTGTGTGGGGTGTCGGTGCCCCTAACTCCTGTGTTGTTCAAGGGTCTGCTGTACATATAACATTGACTATCCTAGCCATTTTTAAGTATACAGTTCAGAGATGTTAAGTACATTCACATTGTTTGTAACTAATCTCCAGAACTCTTCATCTTGCTGGATTTACTTTTAATTTGAAAGATTTATATGACCGTTTAGCTGTTTTGCCTATAATGCCATGCCTTCTGGTTTTTCCTTTCTTGCACCTGTAATTGAAATCTCCTGGTCAGAGTAGGGGGTAGGGGATGTGGATATTTTATGACTTATAGAATATATTGATACTTATTTTCTTTTCATGTCTGTAAACTTTTATGTGTGCATTGCAAACAAAAACTGATGGTGTTCTATTGGAGATGTCCTAGCTTAGTTTCTTTGGTAATGTAATCTGTTACTGAGTCAGTTGTCTAAGGTTAATGTTAGATGTTAAGAGAGAACTGGTTTATTGAAACACATTAGTAGCCAGAATGAGCTCAGGCTGTTGCCTGTATTTACAGTATGGTGGAAGGAGTGGTTGGTTCAGATTTTTCTCAAAGACCACAATTACATCAGGAAAAAAATTCCTGTGTGGTGTAGAGTTGCTGTGAATAGTTACTTTTGGCACTTTGACTTTGGTTTCATGTTGCCTTCCAAAAGGTCTATCTAAGGCTGTAGAACTGCCTCAGACTCCAGTGTTCTATGTAGATGTGCTGTAAATATCCTTTTCAGGGGGCATAAGATGAAGTTAACATTTGCTAAGATGGATTTCTATATGCTCTAATTTTAGCAGGAAAGATGTGAAACTCTATTTGGCAAACTATTATCCAAATAAAGTTATGTCAAAAAAATGAATTTCTTAGGTTCATTTCATGAACTAATTTTATTCAGCTCTTGATTACATTTCCTGTGTGTAGAGCATGTTTCACACTTGGTAACTGACTCTCATTTAAAGAGAATGAATGGCCAAATTAAATGAATGTCCTTTTGAGCAGTTTTCAAATGCATGCATTTCTGATTGGTTTTGTTTGCCTTATTCAATGGAGAAAATAATTCTTGTGGCCATTTCATTTTAAGAGGACAATGTTGAGTGGCTTCTCATAATTTAAAATACGAATAATTATGCTCCCTTGTTTATGTTTGATGGAAACTTAGAATTGAAATCTTGGCTTTTTTCTCTCTCTGGCTCTGCACACTGCTGCCCAGAATGTGTTGGACAGGTATGGTGTGCTGAACTTCATGTAAATCAAATTTTCTTTTTTAATTTTTAAAAATGACTATTGTGTCTTTGTGAAGCAATGAAAAAAATGAGGATTAAATTTAAAGGGAATTATATTTTCCTTTGCTCATACTCATAAAGCAGTGCAAGACAGAAGAAAACTCTCAAGTGATAGTTGACCCATGGCTGTACTAGTATTGATATACTTTTTTTTAAATCAGTTATTTGAAATTCAGTTAAATAGTAGGATATTTGCTTAATGGTAGTTGACATTGCCTCACAGTTTTTGGAATGTTTTAATATTTTTCAGTTATCTAAACCTTTTGCTTATTTCTTCAGTATAAATTTATGTTTTATGAAATCGGATGTGCCAACAGTGTCTTAAATGATATTAAAGGATGTTGTACTGAGAATGCTGAGCAGCGATTTGTTCCTCCATTTCTTCAGAACAAGAAGAAATAGGTTTAGATTATATTTCAGTGAATATTAATGTAATTCCCTAGTAGTAGGGGCATTAAGACATACATCTTTATAGCTTTATTTATTAAAATAACAATACTTAACATTTTAGTATATGCTATATAGGTGATATTGTATTAAGCACTTTATATACATTATCTCACTCTTATCAGGTCCTATGAGGTAGAAACTATTATTTCTATCATTTTGTAGATATAGAAACTGAGGTTTGAAAGGTTAAATAACTTACTAAGGTTGTACAGCTAATAAGAGATTCATTGTTGAAACCAGACCATCTGACTATAGAGCCTAACTAACCACAGTGTAATAGGAAGAGGATAAACATGTGCTGCCCATTACATTTTTTTTTTAAATTAAAAAAGACAATACAGTGTTTCACTATGTTGCCCAGGTTGATCTCAAACTCCCTGGCTTAAGTGATCCTCCTGCTTCAGCCTCCTGAGTATCTGGGACCACAGGTGTGTGCCACCGTGCCTGGCTGTCTATTGTATTAAATATTCACCATGGTTGATCAATCAGTTATAGATAGTAACAGACAACTGAGAGTAGAAGTACAAGCAAAGAAGTGCCACTGTCATGATTTGGTTCAGGAAGTCATATAAGTAAGGATGTGTCTCTGATTTTTTTTCAGTCTTCCTGCTAGGTTTTGAATTTCTAAGAAGGATGATGTGGTTCATGTGTGAATTATTTGTGATAAAATAGTCAAGATACAAAATCCTATTAAGATAACAAAGATATAATATAATATATGGAAAACTCAGAAATCAGCAAGAAATACATTAAAACCCTTTCCATAAATGGGAAAAACAAACAGATAGTATAAATACAATTAAGGGATATAGAAAACTAAGTCTTGTAAGTAATAAAATGCAAATTTAAAACATAATGTGTTGTGAGTTTTGCCTGGTAAATTAGGAAAAACTTCTAAAATGTTAAAACTCAAAGCTGGTACTCTCATTCATTGCTGATGGCATTTTAAAGTAGTGTGTTAGAAGAATAAAATAACTCAATCAGTAAATATATATCCCTCTTTCCTGGCACTAATTTAGTAAATGTGAAATGCACATACTTCTTTTTCTTTTATATTGAGAAGCATGTTTTACTAAACTTATCTGCATTAGGCAAGAAAAACTTTGATTACTCTTTTTGTTAACTACAGATGAAAATAATTAACAGCTGTTGAGCAGAAATGTTGATTTAGTATTTTTCTTAAAATTATTAACCATGAGAGATGTATTTTAATGGCCAACCCATTCCCAAACTTAAATCGCATAATAATCTGTCAGTAACCTAATTGTTTATGTGTAATATTCTGGTCCATAGGAACATGCGTGTTTTATATATGAGTATTCTATAATTTTGCTACTGGTTTATTAAACTTGGGAAAATAATTTGTTATTTTTTATTTACTTTATAGCTATGACTGAGCAAGTAATTCCCATAATATATTATTTTGCAGGTATTCACAGTTTTATATGGAGGATAGTTTTTGCCATTATAACATGTTTAACCATCATTTCTTTGATGGAAAGGTAAGAATTATGACCGTTATCTCTTTCTTCTCTTATTGTGGAATAACAAATTCCAGAATACCTTCTTTGTTATTTTTCTAAATTCCTTCAAGATCAAATTGTGGCTCTTCTGCCATTTATTGGTATTTATTTTTGTTCATTCACTGTTTATTGAGCATCTAGAAGTGATTTTGTTACTCCCTTTTTATGACTTTTCACTGCTTTTTGGGTGAAGACCCACATTCTTATCAAGGCCCAGGGGCTTGTCCCCTGCTTTGGTATTTGTGTTGCTGGGCACAGGGCTTTCATCTTGAACTAGTCAGTTTCTTTCGACCACAGGGAAGGCCCAGGCTTTTCCTGCTGGCCTCTGTTCTCTCTTTGCCTTAATAACTTCTATTCATCTTTCAGAACTTTGTTCCGAATCACTTCTGCCAGCCTCCTCTGATCCCCCCATCCCCAACAAGGTCAAGTTCTCCTTTGTAGATTTACCACACATAATTAAATGCATGCGTCAGGGCAGGGGGTGTATGGGAAATCTCTATACTTTCCTCTCACTTTTGCTGTGAACCTAACACTGATGTAAAAAAAAGAACTCTTTAAAACAAAGGGGCAGTGGCTTAAAAGAAAGCTTCTTTCAATATGATGTTAATAATGTCACTGAGAATAAACAATATAGCAGAGCTGATACTTCTCCCAGTATGAGCTCTTTGTCATTCCTATTATAAAATAAAATCCATAACCAGCCAAGTAATGATACCTGACAGGAGGTTGACCAAAAATGTTTTGAAGTTATTGAGAAGACAACCCATAGATATATGCGTATATATAAATTTTTTTAAAGTTATGAACCCAGCCTAACTATATATTGTGTTTTGAGATATTAGTTAATGATAGAATAAAAACCAAGCAAGACTAGAAATGTCAGCATTGAGGAAATGAAAACAAATACTAAATTGTTGGTTGGGGTTGAAAAATGAGTTCCCTGATTTAATAAGTATAGCACTTCTTCTGTTTGAATTAATTTAGCATTGGGATATATATTTTTCAGCCCCGATAGCCATTAAAACCAAGTACTGAAATAAATACTTAGAATTAGACGTATTTCACTGTTTCCCAAAAGGTTTGTGTGGTTGGTAATCACTAGGATTTGAGAACTGAGTAGATGAGCTTGAAGGAGAGCAGGGACTTGACTTGCCAGTGAGTGATGAGGGTCTTCCCAGGCAGGACGGTGGCAGTGGCGAAAAGAGAGAAAAGAACTGGGTTCTGTAGGCATTTCACAGACTGTGAGGCGTGTACTGGGGAGAAGTCAAAGCTGACTTGGTGGTCTGGCCTGGGTTTGTATTTTATTCTTCAAAACAGGGTAGTGAAGTTTAGAAGTGATGAGTTTGTGGAGCTGGCAGGATACTGACATGGGGGTGTCCAGTATGGCTCTTGAAACTGTGGGACCCTTCCCAAGTCAGGGAAGAGAAAAAAATAGGAAAAAAGAAGAAGAAGAAGAAAAAGAAACTGTGGGGCCTTGACCTCAGAGTAGATGACGAATAGTGGGTTAGGGTTTTTTGTTGTTATTGTTTATTTGTATTTAATACCATACCATGATTTTGCTTTTAATTTTGAATAATAAAGACAACAGAAGGGTTAAATTACATTTAAATACATAATGGTTGGCTAGCAATTTCATTTATTTTTTTTAAAGTAACACATAATTAGGCTTTTTCTAGGACATTCTGTGTAACTTACTATTGAAAATTTGTAGGAAATTACCTTATAAATTTCTAAAATAATGGTTGGAATAAGCTGCCAAGCTTGAGCACTACTTTATCTTTCCCTGAAGAAAACAGCCGTCCAGCTAAGGCTTTCCTTACTCTATATTTTAGCAGCAGCCTCTAAATAGCACTGCAGCTGCAGAGATTGATCTGTAGAAACCCATTGTTTTAATGATTTTATTATCTGCCGTTTTTCTACCTACTCCCGGAGTCAAGTTTCTCAGTAGAGATTTACCAGCCACTAATCAATCACTAAGTATTTAAGTGTCTGCTCGATGCCTGTGAGGCTGTACAGGGTACTTAGGACGACAGAAGACTCCGCTGCTGCACCTAAGCACCTGGCAGTCCACTGCATTAAAGAAGCAAGAGTTCCCCACACAGGATTTTCTCATTGCAAATCACACAGTCTTGAAGGTATTAAAAAAATGTCGCATGCCTTAATGGTAAAAAGGGTTAAAGTATGTATAGAGGATAGCTAATTAAAATGCCACACGTTATTTTTGTGATAACTGAGATGATGGAAAGAGTCAAGTTACTGTCCACACTGGTGGCATAACAAGCATCTGTGTCCCATACAGAGGTGGTCAACATCAGGACCCTCAGCAACTTGTGGTGAGCCATGATGCCACTGATTCTTACCTGGAAAAAAAAATTCTTTAATTTTTTTTTAAATTAGGAGTTTAGGCATGATTTACTTGTATATTTTCTTTTTATACTTTTTTAACTCTAAGGAATTTGAAGGTTTTCAATATCATCTTCTGTGCTTTAAGTCCTTGTTCATGTAAGCAGGTTAAGGAAGTGCCAGGTAGTGCTTGAAAAATGATTAACCTTCTTGACATACCATCATCTGCTGTAGGAGTTTCAGTAGGAAGTTAATAAAGACTCTCCTAGGGAAAAAGGATTATTGTGTTTTTCCTCTCATCACTTGGGTCTTCTAAATTGAGTTAGTAGTATAACAAAATATATTTGATTATAAAGTACATATAGGCTTATTAAAGTTTAAAATGCCCTGAAACTTTAAAATCTTGTGCCATTTTATATATTGTAAGTGCTGATTTACTTTTATAGATGAGTACAGTTAGCCTTCTGCATCTGTGGGTTCCACATCTATGGACTCAGCTGTGGATCAAAAATATTTAAAGAAAAAAATGTACAGCGGCATCTGTACTGAACATGTACAGACTTTTTTTCTTGTCATTCTCTAAACAATATAGTCTATTTAAATAGCATTTATATTGTATTAGGTATTATAAGTCATCTAGAGATGATTTAAAGTATACAGGAGGATTTGCGTAGGTTATATGCAAATATTATGACCCTTTATGTCAGGGACTTGAGCACTTTGGTGTGGGAGGTCCTAGAACCACCCCCATGGATACCGAGAGAGGACTGGACTTGGAAACTACTTCCAAGTCAGTAGACTGGAGGTACTGTTGTAGGTGTATCTCTTAATAACTTCACCCAAAGCAAAAAGTGTTAAATATTTTTGTTAATGTTGACTTTACAATTATTAGAAACACTCAAGTTAACCTGTTGGGAAAACATGTTAATAGCATGGTTTCACGGACTAGATAAGCTTTGTTATTCGTGAACTTTCATTTATTGACTTACTCCGCATGTTCAAATATGCCTATCATTTACCTGATATTCAAAAACATGTGTATGGTTTTTTTTTTTTTGAGACAGAGTCTCGCTGTGTTGCCCGGGCTAGAGTGCCGTGGTGTTAGCCTAGCTCACAGCAACCTCAAACTCCTGGGCTCAAGCGATCCTCCTGCCTCAGCCTCCTGAGTAGCTGGAACTACAGGCATGAGCCACCATGCCTGGCTAATTTTTTTCTATATATTTTTAGTTGTCCAGCTAATTTATTTCTATTTTTTTAGTAGAGACAGGGATCCCGCTCTTGCTCAGGCTGGTCTCGAACTCCTGAGCTCAAACGATGCACCTGCCTCGGCCTCCCTGAGTGCTAGGATTACAGGCGTGAGCCACCGCACCCAGCCAACATGTGCATGTTTAACTGATAATTTGTAACTGTTATTAAACTGAACTCATGGCAATGGACAGACCAGATGGGCAAAAAATATGTCTAATTCTTCTCTGTGTCCCCAGTGTTCAGCACCGTCCCTGCTTCTGTTTGTTGAATTGAATTTAACATTTTAGGTGGTTTTTGTGGATAATGAGTTTCTCTCTTTGAGGTTACTAAATTTAGTTTTTTAATTTAACCATTTGAAATGTGTAGCCTTTTGATAGTGATGGTGTTTGAATTCGCAATTTTAAAAACCTGCTTATCAAGGAACCCAAAGATAAAATCTTACGAGGGCTGACTGAGAGTGGCTTTGTGGTGTTACTGAGGGTCGCTGCAGTGGCAGGATGACTTGGAAAAGTTTCCAGCACTAAGAGTGAGACTGAATTTAATGCATTCTCCTTCAAATAGGATGAAATGCCTCTCTCTAGTCCTAATTTAGAAATGAATTTTTATTTGTTCCAGGCTGCCCTTGAAGTATGCAGAGCATTTTTACAGGAAGATGAAGGTGAAGGAGTCATTATGGTGACAGATCCTCCTTTTGGTGGCTTGGTTGAACCTCTGGCTGTTACATTCAAGAAGTTAATTGCTATGTGGAAAGAAGGTCAAAGTCAAGGTGTGTAATTTATTACCTCAAAATAAACACATATCTATGTATCTACTTCCTGTCAAATATTAGCTGAGCTCAGTGAATCAGAGCACTGATATAAAATACATGTCTTGGATTCTTCTCTCTTCTTTAAAACAGTCTTATTTGATGATGTGGCAACCTTCATTATCATGATAGACTTTATATTATTATAATCATGTGTTTTTAAAATGGCTTGAAGGTAAAATATTTTTCGTGGGGATAATGGGACATGAGGAAGAACAACAGTAAACTGTTGTCATTCATCAATAAATATTTACTGAGTGGCCACTATGTGCCAGGAACTGTTTAGATACTAGGAATAGATTAGTGAAAGCAGACACATATCTCTACCCTATGGACCTTACATTCTCTGTGCCTAAGGTCTTGCCCAGAACTCTAAGAAGGCATCCACCCTCAGGGCCAGAGCTTTAACCTTTGCCAAGATTTGAGTGTGGAGGTTGGATATCCAACAGGCTGATAGTGGTTATCAGTGACACAGATTCCCAGCCCTAGAGGTAGATTATTGGCTGGGGGTTATTATTATGTTTAAAGTGGCTTAGGACTTCAAAGTATATTATGTGATTATCTAATTAGTCCATACACTTATTTTTTAGAAATAGTTTCTAGCTTGCAAGTTGATAAATTGTAAGAGTGTCAGGAATTGTGTCATCAAGCTTCTCCATTAATTGTGCTACATAAATAGTGAGCTTTGGGGACAGAATGCAAATGAAATCTAAAACATGACTAATATTGTTAAGTATTTCACTTACTTGCTGTTCTTAAGTCCTCTAATCATAGTGAATAAAATCAATGTTATTGGGGAAGCAATAAAGAGCTTTTGTGGGCTTCAATTCCTGTTCTACCACTTATTAGCTGCATGAACTTGATAGCTTGAGGCTTCAGTTTCACCATCTGTAAAATGGGATTTTTAATATCTAACTCTAGGGGTTACTATAAGGAGACAATGTATAGAAAGTACCTAGCATACTGCTTCGGCTGTACTGGTTACTCTGTAAATAATATAATAGCTATGTTCCCTGTCTCTCATAAAAACTAATTTTGAGGCTGGGCCTGGTGACTCACGCCTATAATCCCAGCACTTTGGGAGGCTGAGGTGGAAGTATTTCTAGAGGCCAGGAGTTTGAGACCAGCCTGAGCAAGAGTGAGACCCTGTCTATACCAAAAATAGAAAAAATTAGCCAGGCGTTGTGGTACGCACCTGTAGACCCAGCTACTCGGAAAGCTGAGGCAGGAGAATTGCTTGAGCCCAGGAGTTTGAGGTTGCAGCGAGCTGGGATGACGCCACTGCACTCTAGCCTGGGCAACAGAGCAAGATCCCATCTTAAAAAAAAAAAACAAAACTAATTTTGATAAGATTGATTTTAAGACTCTTCCATGATTAAGAAAAGGTTGACTCATCCCTGAAAACCAAAATAAATAGTTGTGGCAGAGCTAGGGTTCAGACCCAACTCTTTCTGCCTTCTAGTCCAGGGTTTCTTCCACTAATCATGACTACCTTTGTGCTTCGGAGTGATACTCCTTCTTCATTTTCCGCTTTTTGGGTAATATCTTTGCCTTTACCTAGACTATAGTAATATACATATAAGGGTTATTTTTACATGCCTTTTGTAGCTATGTCTATACAGAAAAGAATATTTCCACTGACCTTTGGGAAAGGTCAGGTTGTAAGTGGCACTGTGGTAAACATTCTTTTTGGGTGAGATTTAAATATGTTGAACAATTACAATTTCTCACAATACCAGAGGCAGCTTTCTATGTTTTCTTTAATATCAGTTTCTTATTTTCTTTCCCCTTTTTTGTGATCCACTAGATGACAGTCACAAAGAACTACCCATTTTCTGGATTTTCCCCTATTTTTTTGAATCCCGCATTTGTCAGTTTTTTCCAAGCTTCTGCATGCTGGATTACCAGGTATGGTAAATATTCTGTTTTATGGCATGGTTGGGGAATGGATATTCTGCTTAAATAGATATTTTGATAAAAATGTGCATTGATTTTGGTAAATTAAAATACTGTGAGCTGCATTAAACACTAAAATTATATCATATATAGTTTAGCCCAGTTTAAATGTCTGTAATCCCTAGGGTGCTTGTTGAAAATATAGATTCTTGAGTACCAAAAAAAAAAAAAAATCCCTACTAAATTAAATTCAGAGGGCAAAGCCCCAAGAAAAATTATTTTACCAAGCTTCTCAAGTGATTCTGAAGTTCAGCTGGGTTTTATACTAACTGATCCAATCTTTTCTCATCACCAGAAGATTTTGCAGCCGCTAGGATTGTCATTATGAACGTTGGTTTGCTCTGTTAAGAGGTTGTAGAAAAATAAATCACTTTTTCTGGTTGGTGGAATGCCATGTACACTTTACTGTGTCACTGAGAGGATGGCAGGAGCATCACAGAAGGCAGAGATGGCTTTCTGTGTGAGTGTGAGCGTGCTGATTCAGAGTGGGAGTTATTGGAGTGAGCAACTTGCTCCTTCCCAGCACTGCCTGTGGTATGTTCCCTATACCCGAGATGAGAGTGAGGCCGGTGTACATGGTGGCTCCACCTTGTCCTTTAAGTTCTTTCTGCTTTAATGTCCACGTTCCTGGGTTTGTTTCTTTGGGTTTGAAGTTAACCCTGTTGTTGCCATCACTATGTGTGGTCACCACGTGGGGACTACTTCCTCTTTCTGTAATGACATTTTTCTATTTCAGTTTTCTGAATAATTGACTAGCCTCTGATTTAAGGCTTTTCAGCCCTTTATAGTTTTAACTGTAAATGTCTTCACTAGTTGTTGGAAGGTAACACTTGGTTCTAATCTTTCTAATCTTGAAGGCATAAACCATTAAGAAAATTATTTTGAAATTCTGAAAGAAACAATGTTACCAAAAATGAGAGGACAGACCCTGTGATTCTACCTAAACAGCAAATATTATAATTTCGAAGTATCCACTTATAATCTTTTTCAAAAAGCACTTTTTACATATTTGTAATCGTAGAAGACAATTTCGAATTCTGCTTTCTTCGCTATGTCTTGTAAGTATACATTTTTAAAGGTAGCTACATAATCCTTATGCTTTTACTTCTTTTAAATTATTTCATTAACAAGTTTGGTTATCTTTCCCTTTTTCTTGGGCTATAGGTTGTTTTACCTTAAGGTAGTATAAATAGCACTGCTATAAACATTTTTTTGTATATAATTTTTCCATATTTTCCGTAACTTTCTTAAAATAGATTTCCAAAACTGAGATTACTTTATCAAATTTAATGGACATTTTTATGGCTATTGAGCCATATTAACAGGTTCCTTTCCGAAAGTGTGTAGCACAAGCCATTTTAACCTTGAGTTGTTCAGCTCTGCTTCAGGCAAAATCTATGTAATAATTCTTAAATCTGGTTTACTCTCCTTTTTAGGACATCTAGTTTTCTGTTTCTTGTCTGAGGGATGCTCCTAGTATTGACATTTGCAATGCAAAGATAGCTGACATATTCTGAAGATGTTAACTAAGTAAACTGGTTCCAGTTTTCAGCAGTTCCTGCTGCCTTTGGCAATGAATAATTGTCTACTTAGATGCTTGGCACAAAGTAGGTGCCCTATATATATTGAATGAATAACTGAGTGAAAAAGCATGAACTATGAAGTAAAAAAGGATTTGGGTTTTAATCCTGGTTCTGCTACTTGCTTGACCTCTCTGAAACTCATCTTACTTGTTAAGTGAGTGTAGCAATAATGTATCTTAAGGTTTGAAGGATTTTGTGAGATAATGCATGAAATGGCTAAGCCCAGTTCTTAACACACAGCAAGTGTAGAGTTTAGGTTATTGCTGTCGCCATTGCCGTCACCATCACTGTCATCATTCAGAAAGTCTTCTTTATGTCCTTTTTTTGTACAATATCTGAGACATTAAAATGGCATAATACAAGGTCCCTCAGAAAACTGTTGCATCCACATTTGGGCAAGAGTTTGAAATGGAGGGGGCGGGAAAAGAAGGCAGATCTAGAATACAGTGGATGAGAAAGGTTAGCGTGGAATAACCTACCGTGGCTTGTTTAGGCAGCCTGTGTTATTAGGAAAGAACTTTTGGAAATACCAGAGTTACAGTTTGGAGAAACAGTTGCAAGGTCCAAGCTTGTGGAAAATAATTATATGCCCCAGTGTATTGGTGGGAAAAGGCTTTGATTAGGTCATGTGTGTCTGACAGGCTAAAAAGCAGTCTTTTCAATAAAGAGAGCCAACTTTTAGAAAGAAAAATGAGAATAAACTATACTAAAGAAAATTTAAGTGTTTTGTAATTCTGACAAAAGGTAAGAACAGTGCTTCCCAGGACATTCTCATGTTGGAAAAACTGATTTCACCGTGTTGCATGTATTTATAAACCTTAATTAAGATGTACTTCCTCTTTGATGACTTTTCTATTTTCTTTTTTGAAAATTTCTCTGGACCTATTATTATTATTCCTTTCTGAGCCTTTTGCTTTCTTCTTTTTCTTTCTTTTCTTACTTTAACTTCATTTTGTGGTACTCTTGTTTTCTTTTATGTTAGCCTTCACCAAATGAAACATTTGAAAGTCTTCTCCCCTCCTTCCCAGATTTTTTCCACAGACCTTGATTAGGCTTTTTTTCCGGACATCACCCAAGATGATTATTAGTCCCCAAACCGCAATGCAGTAAAAAAACAAAATCACTAAACCTGTTTTTTGAAAATACTTTTCAGGTAAGAGGAAGACGGAAATGCCACACATCTTCATAAAACGTAAATTATGTAGACTCTTCAGTGATGAAGCACTTGATGAGTACAGAATAAAATAGTCATCAAAGATCTAGAAAACCCTGAGTTTTATTAAGGACAGATTAGAAAGGAAGCATATGATGATGAAAAGAAACTCTCATTTAGAGGCAGAAGTTTTGAGTCCTGGCACTGCCTTTTAGAAGCTAGTTAATCTTGGGGGACATCACTTTATCTCTCCAGGTCTCTGTTTCCTTACCTGTAAAATAAAATGATTGAACCAGAAAAGAGACGGCAGGTAAGTTTCACTGTTGGTGCTAAGCCTGATAAATTGCTAGTGATTTTCTGGAGAATTTGTTGAGAATGGCATGGTCAGTAGCAAAGAGTAGCATGACTAGCAATGTCTGCCATGGGGGCCGGGGCAGGGAGTGGTGGCATTTATGTCCTGTATTTACCGTATCTGCATTAGATGATCTCATATCCCTGCCGCCTTGGGCATTCTGTTCTCTTGTTTCTTCTTAATATGGGATCACTTGTCTGGAGTGTTAAAAGTAGAAATAGAGCTCTTTGCTTTTGTCATAGCTATCCTTTTTTAAAATCATCCTGGGTAGACACTGTTTTTCTAGATTAGTTTCACAGTCAGAAATGAAGATATTTTGATAGGAATTTCTGGGAAATTATTGCAAATTACAAGATAGCTATGGAAATTCTTGAAATTCAATCTATATTAAACATAAAACATTTAGTGGGTTTAGAGTGAATAGGGGGTAAGAGGTGTGTGTATGTGTCTGTATATATATATATACATTTTAAGTAAGAGTTACACGGGATGTGGGGAATATGACTAAAAGACCTTGTTGCTGTGGTAGAAGCCGATTGATGGAGCTGAAGAGTGCACTTGGGACCTTTTGTGTATACTGAAATTCGGTGTAACACAATGCTTAGGGAGTTACCGAAATGCAAGCCTTTGTTTCCTGGCATGACACCTGGAACATAGTAGGTACAAAATAAATGTTAACTTGAATGTCTTGGTCTCCATTTCCGTAGTTTCAGTCTCACGGTACAGAAGACATTTGCGTATAGATAAAATTAAAAGTTAGGAATTGCAGAGATTTTGTGCTTTCCCTCATTTCTATACAGTACTTCATCACATTAATCAGTTCCATGGGAGAAATTTTCTGTTTGAAAATGCCTCTAATCATCATTGTGAGTGAAATGTCAGCGATAATGATGGGAAAATGGTGTATCAGCTCTACTACTAGTGATATGCAATTTGCAAAATTGTGTTTGCTTTACAGCACTTCCATAGGAGGTTTATTTGTGTGGATGAAGCTATGAAATATGGATGTATGTTAGAGGTACATTAATTTACCCTAGCAGCATGTATTTTACATACCATATGTTTATAGTTAATTAGCACAACAAACCCACATTTAAAAATAATAATAATCTCAATTAGGTTATGCAAAATCAAACAATCAACCACCTTCCTGACACATACATTCTCTGACTCCTTGGGTAACCATAAAGAAATTGTTTTTTTATCCCTTCTCTTCCATCTGCTATCTATTATATTGCATAGAATATTCCATGTACTAGAAATCTTTCTAAAGTATTATTTTCCAGCATTTTAAAATCTTCATAAGATTCTCTTGGGAAGGATTTTTTTCTTATGACACACATAAATGTTCAAAACATCTTTGTTGAACTTAATAAGGTACCATATATTTATTGAGTACACAGAGGAGTGCATTAGAGGAAAAAACATGAATTTAAATCATTTCAAAAGAAAACTACTTAAGGTACTATTTTAAGGTGATTTTGTGGTAAAATCTATTTTTTTGTCTTAGCCTCTAATAGGTAACATATATTCACAGAATTTTAAAAGTTGGAAAGAAACATAGAGGTATAACCTAGGCTGACTTCCCGATGTAATAATCCTCGCCACTAAATTCATGACCAGCAGTGATCTAGCCTCACTTGAATGCTTCCAGTGAGCAGAGGCCTGCAGCCTTACAAGGATATGCAATTTATTTAATAGCTCTAATCGTTTGAAAATTTTCTCATATTGAGATAAAATATGCTCCCCATTAACTTCTAACCATTGGTCCTAGTTCTTTTCTCTGAGGCAATAAAGGATAAGTCCAATTTCTATTCCATATGACACCCCTTCAGTTATAAAACAGCTAGTAGGTACTCCCAGCCTTCTCTTTTCTGAATAAACACACCCAATTTGTTAAACTATAAATTCTGTTCATTCCCATTATTTTTGTTAGAAATGAACTGGTTTTATCAGTGCCTCTCTTAAGATGGAGTGACTGAGCACAGAGCTTCAAATGTGATCTAACCTTGTACTTCCCTTGTTATGATACTGTACTTCCAAATAGCTCATGCACGCTTGTGCTGGACTGTGGACTCACCATGCTCACAGTCAGCCGGGAGTTTTTTCACATTGTCCTTTGGGTCTCCTCATCCTGTACTTCGTTTTTTCCACTGCTGAACCTTGGCTTAAACTAGACAGGGCTGGAGAGTGAGCCTAGGGATCTGCCGTTGAAGACCTCTCCTTCCCTTGTCATCAACTTCTTACATTTTTGTGATTCACTTATTAAATAGCTAACTTGGAAGCCAGTTCCATTCGTAAGTTCTTAAGTGTATTCTTGTTTAGAATTCAAACAATTCATTACAACGTATCTGAACGTTGGGGCTTACCTATACTGACCTCATAAAAACCTCATGGTATTCTTTTGGATAAGCTAGAGCAGTGGTTCTCAAACTGTAACACTCCTGGAGGGCTTGTTAAAACACAGATTACTGGACCCCAGTCCCAGAGTTTCTGATTTATTAAGTCCTAGGTGAGCTGAGAATTTGCATTTCTAACAAGATCCCAGGTGATGCTGATGTTGCTGATTCAGCACCACACTTTGAGAATTACTGATCTAAAGAAAGTTGGATTTAGTGGCCAGGTGGATTCAGGTCAGGCTTAAAACCAAATTGAGAATGTATGTGAGTAATAGGTTGAGGGAGGAGATGGAAGCAAGAAGAGAATAGAAATCATGCTTGTTAGCTTTACTTTGCTTTCAAGGTAATCTGCTGAAACTAAAAGTTTAGTTAGGGATCTTGAGAAGAGAGAGAGAGAAATGTTTGAAGTGGTCGCTGTGGGGAGAACAACTACAGTTGTGAACCTCTCTCTTCACCTCGATTTTTCTACTTTATGTTAGGCCCTGAACTAAGTGTTTTACGTACCTTATCTCATCTAACCTTCACAGCAACTTTAAGGTAATTATCAGTAACCACCTTTTACAGATGAAAAATAGTAAACTTGCCTAAGCTCACATAAGTAAGTGGCAGTGCCCTGTCTGGCCCACAAACTCGAGTGTCTGCCAGAGTGTGAAAGGACAGATAGTCGGGGGTCGGGAGGGCTGGACTGAGCCTTGGTGAGCTCGAAACTGTCACACAGCGAACTTCACAGAAAAATGAGAAGCCCCTACCAAACCAGCATACATCCTCAAAGGCAGAATTTTTTAATGCCAAAAGCTAAATTCTTAATGACAAAATAGACTTTCTTGTAAAGTCTGTTGTATTGGATAAAAGATTAGAGTTGTTCTCTTCATACTAGACAACAGGCCAAGCGCTGTGGCTCATGCCTGTAATCCCAGTGCTCTGGGAGGCTGAGGCAGGAGGATTGCTTGAAGCCAGGAGTTCAAGACCACCCTTGAGGAACACAGCAAGACCCCCGTCTCTACAAAAATAAAATAAAATAAAATTACCCAGGCCCGGTGGCAAGTGCCTGTAGTCCCAGCTCCTTGGGAAGCTGAGGGGGAAGGATCATTTGCGCCCAGGAGTTTGGGGTTGCAGTGAGCCCTGATGATGCACTCCAGCCTGGGCGACAGTGAGAAGACCCTGTCTCAAAAGAAAAAAAAGAATTTTTTATTAAATACTTTGGTTTAACTCGCATCTTGACATTAGCTTGTTCATTTATTGGTTAAAGAATCTTAATAAATATTGACTCATTTGAGTAAAGTTTCTTTTTGCTTTAATTTTTTAAAAATTTTCTAGGTAGATTATGATAATCATGCACTTTATAAACATGGAAAGACAGGTCGAAAACAGTCTCCTGTGCGTATTTTCACTAACGTTCCACGCGACAAAATAATCCTTCCTACCGAAGAAGGATACAGGTAAGATCACAGTGGGATTTTGAAGTACACGAGTAATTGAAAATAAAGTTACGTAAATCTAGCACATGCTTTCAATATTGAATCATGTAGTTCTTCTGTTACTTTTAAATTAGGTCCATAATTTCATATTGAATTGAATTCAGGTTACACCCAGTTTTTGTAATGGGTGTCCTTGTAAACTTTACTCTGAATCTCAATAAATATATGCAGCTGATTTTCCTGTTTCTTTACTCTTTAGATTGTGCCCTCTTTGTCAACGATATGTTTCTCTAGACAATCAGCACTGTGAGCACTGTAATTCTTGCACATCCAAGGTAGAGTTTTCTTATAGAATGTGCTTTTACTATTTTTATTTTAGTATACTAATGGTGTATTAGTTTTAGTTTACTAGTTTCATTACTTTTTAAATATTATTTTGTTAATATTACCATTTGTATTAATATATTATCATTTGTTAATTAAACTTTAATAACTTATTTTAAATTATAGAATACAACAGGCTTTTAAAAATATTCCGTTGTCTTCTTCATCACCAACAATTATTTGAATTCATTTTCATATGGTACTGTATGACTGCTAAAATTATGATGTTTCAAATAAGGCACTGAACTATTACATTTATCACCATTCTGATGAAATAATGATTAATATGCACTGTGCACTCTTAATGTGCCAAGCCCTTTCCTAAGAGCTGTACGTGGATTAACTCATTTAATCTTCACAACAGCCTTAGTAGGTAGGCACAGTTACTCCCCACTTTTTTACAAATGAGGAAGGACTACAAGGGACATACATCCTATTTGTTTATTTAGCTATTATTTTTTCTTTCTTTTTTTTTTTTTCTTGAGACAAAGTCTCACTGTGTTGCCCGGGCTAGAGTGCCGTGGCGTCATCCTAGCTCACAGCAACCTCAAACTCCTGGGCTCAAGCGATCCTCCTGCCTCAGCCTCCCGAGTAGCTGGGACTACAGGCATGCGCCACCATGCCCGGCTAATTTTTTCTATATATTTTTAGTTGTCCGATTAATTTCTTTCTATTTTTAGTAGAGACGGGGTCTCGCTCTTGCTCAGGCTGGTCTCGAACTCCTGAGCTCAAACAATCCGCCCGCCTCGGCCTCCCAGAGAGCTAGGATTACAGGCGTGAGCCACCGCGCCCGGCCTATTTAGCCATTATTTTTTCAATGACGTTATTTTTCAACAGTTTTAGGTTTACAGCAAAATAGAGCAGAAGGTACAAAGATTTCCTGTATACCCTCCCCCCACGTGCAGACTCCCCTACTATCAACACCTCCCACCAGAGTGATTCATTTTTTGCAACTGGTGAACCTACTCAGTACATCATTAATACCCAGAGTCCAGAGTTTGCATTAGGGCTCACTCTTGGTGTTGTACATTCTGTGGGTTTGCACAAACATATAATGACATATATCCACTATTATAGTATTATACAGAATGGTTTCACTGTTTTCACCAAAAATCTTCTGTGCTCTGCCTATTCATCCTTCTTTCTCCCCCAACCTCTGGCAACCACTGATCTTTTGACTGTTTCCACAGTTTTGCTTTTTCCAGAATGTCATATAGTTGGAATCATATAGTATGTAGCCTTTCATTGGCTTCTTTTACTTATTAATAGACACTCAAGCTTTCTCCATGTCTTTTCATGGCTAGATAGCTCATTTTTTGTTAGTGATGAATAATATTCTTCTGTCAGGATGTACCAACAGTTTGTTTACCCATTCACCTACTTAAGTACAGCTTGGTTGCTTCCAAGTTTTTGGCAATTATGAATAAACCTCTTAGTTTTTTAGGAAGGTAGGATGACCCTTAAGTTGCTTTGTGTGTTTTAATTAAATGTGGTCAGAAAGAGCACATGTAAAGTTTACTTTGGCTTTTAAGCACAAATTACTCTCCAAAGAAAAGGCTGCATTCGTGTAAATATTAGAAAGTACATTTTTCTTAATTATATAATTTTATTACTGGTTATATTTGTTTTTAACTATGGTAACACATCTGATTATTTATATGTATTTTCAGTTAGTTTAGAAATGATCAGTATTCTTCATTTAAAAAAGACTATGTCCAGATTGTATAGTTTAAAACTGAGGAAAACAAAACTTTTTTAGAAATGCACACAGAGGTAGTAAAAATAAAGAAGAGCAAGGAAATGACCGCCACAAAACCAGAATAGGTGTTACTCAGTGGAGAAGGGAGGAATGCTGTGATTCGGAAGGGGCAGGTGGGGGGGTTTTAGGGGGCTGGTCTATTTCTTGACCTGATGCGTTTCATCGTTGTTTGCTTTATAATACTCATTAAGTTGGACATATGTGTTCTTTGTACTTTTTTAGATATGTTTTATTTCATAGTTTTAAAATTAATCAAACAGTAACCTGTAATCTATCCTTCTAAAGTTCTCAAATATGAATTTCATTAAGGATTATACAGTACAAACACATACAATTATGAATCATTAATTCTCTTGAAATTTTCATTTGAGTCTTTTTTTTGTGTAGATTGAGTTGCTTGAACTAGAGTGGATTTTCAAGATCATTTAGATAAATCTCCTAGTTTTACAGTTAAGGAAATTGATGCCCATCAAGGAGTCATTTGAGTTGAGTGGAGAAATGCATAAATTAAAATCAAAGTATTTAATTGTCAAGCTCAGAAAAGGGAGAAATAAGGAATGAATAATTTACACAGATTTTAATAAGACATTTTAATTTTTAATTGTGGAACTTGATTTTTAATAACAAATTAAATACAGTTTAAAAATTGTTTTTGTAGGATGGCAGGAAATGGCGCCATTGCTTTCTCTGCAAAAAATGTGTAAAGCCTTGTAAGTATTGAGACTCAGTGTTTGAAATCCTATGAAAACAATTTAGAGTTCTTCTCCATCTAAATAGGATTTTTATTTAATTGTATTTATAAAGGAAAAAATAATTTAGAAAACTGCAGTAATTTATTTGCTTTTTAATTTTAGTTAGCAACATATATGTTCTGTCCTGCATAGGGAGTGATGACTGCTAACCTGTTTCAGCGTGGCATGTGGTTTGACTTATCTTAATAAGGCTTTGTGTCGCTCAGCCAGCCTCCATTGTAAAAATAGCTGTCAGCTTGGGACTCATTGGAGAAGGGCTGAATTTGTTGCCGTGTAACAGAAAGACGTTAGCTAGTTTATGCAGGGTTCCAACCTCTTCACCTTGGTCTCATTAGCCAAATTAAAACTAATTATGCGAACCAGCCACAACATTTCAAATAAACACTGTTCATGTATCCTACCTTAAAAGTTAATAAAATGAAAAATTATACAAAATGAACTTCTTTTAAAGCCTAATTTTTATTTTACAGCCTGGATCCACTGTGGCATTTGCAATCATTGTGCTCTTCCAGGTCACTCTTGCGAGGGCCCTAAAGATGGCTGTTTTATTTGTGGTGAATTGGATCACAAACGCAGTACTTGTCCTAACATCGCTCCATCTAAAAGAGCTAACAAGTTAGTTGAATTCTTTTCTTTACTGGAAAAAAATTTTCCACGTGTGCTTTTTGTACAGTGCAGTCCACAAAATGTGCAGCATTCAGGGCATTCAGAAGCACTAAACGGATTGTTACTTTGACTATTTTGTACTGTTTGCATAGATGGGGGAAGGAGGATAGGCAGGCTAGTCAAAGAACTTACTTTCAAGGAACTTACAGTTTCACAGGTGAGACATGAAAATGATCAAAATATGAGTTAGAAAGGGATTAGCTAGCTTTATATCTCCTGTGGTTCGTGTGGAATTATAATTTGTGGGATGAGAGTTCAGGCTTTATTGAAGGACATAATATTTGAGTCAGGCTTCGAGGGACGGCTCGGATGTGGGAAAGGCTGGAGGAGCCATTTCCCATAAATGTAGTGAGTACTTCCACGGCAGACAAATTGTACAGTGAAGTTATTTCTTTAAATTGTATCAGACTTCTAGAAGAATATTTAGACATGCTTAATAGTTAAATATTTAAAATTTTTATTAGTATTTTTTTCTGTGATTATTTTCACTTCTCCCACCAATATTTGGTACCGATTATAGCTCAGAGTTATACCAATGACAATAGTATATTTAGAGAAACCATTGCTCTTTCAACTGGGCTAATTTTTTTTTTTTTTTTTTTGAGACAGAGTCTCACTCTGTTGTCTGGGCTAGAGTGTCCTGGCGTCATCCTAGCTCACAGCAACCTCAAACTCCTGGGCTAAAGCGATCCTACTGCCTCAGCCTTCCGAATAGCTGGGACTACAGGCATGCGCCACCATGCCTGGCTAATTTTTTCTATATATTTTTAGTTGTCCAATTAATTTTCTTCTAATTTTAGTAGAGGCGGCGTCTCGCTCTTGCTCAGGCTGGTCTCGAACTCCTGAGCTCAGAACGATCCGCCCGCCTCGGCCTCCCAGAGTGCTAGGATTACAGGCGTGAGCCACCGCGCCCGGCCTCAACTGGGCTAATTTGATGAGTATACTTCTTTTTTTTTAACTGAAAGGGATGCTAAAGATTAAGTCCTCTTGTTTTATTGATAAGAAAACCTTACCTCATGTCACACAGTTATTAATTGCAGATTGCCAGATAGTGAAATTTAACATTACATAAAAATTGAGATTAGTATAAAAATTGGGGGCTATCATATGACTTGTGATGAAAAAATATTGATTAGTGTTAAAAGTATCTGATGGCTTAGTAACTATTTATGATTATACTGAATTCTTTTCCATTTATTTATTTATTTTTGGTCAGTGAAAATTGTTTTCCCATTTGAATTCCACTTGAATTCTTCCCACTGTTTAAACTACTTCTTTCATAAATTTACTCTACTTTAAATAATTATTTCCACTAAGTAATCCAGGATAGAAATGATTAATTTTTAAAAATTAATCAAAGAGGCTTATTGAAGAATCTTATAAAATATTTTTCCTTAGAAACCTTCAACAGTGGAATACCTTATAAACTTATTGGTCTGGGATTGTTGCACTATTTACAGTGTAGTTCTGGATAGAAACTGGAGTTAGGCTGGGTGCGGTGGCTCACGCTTGTAATCCTAACACTCTGGGAGGCCGAGGCGGGTGGATCGCTCAAGGGTTAGGAGTTCAAGACCAGCCTGAGCAAGAGCGACACCCCCATCTCTACTAAAAATAGAAAGAAATTATCTGGACAACTAAAAATATATATATAGAAAAAATTAGCCGGGCATGGTGGCGCATGCCTGTGGTCCCAGCTACTTGGGAGGCTGAGGCAAGAGGATCGCTTGAGCCCAGGAGTTTGAGGTTGCTGTAAGCTAGGCTGATGCCAGGGCACTCTAGCCAGGGCAACAGAGCCAAGACTCTGTCTCAAAAAAAAAAAAAAAAGAAAGAAAGAAACTGGAGTTAGTAACATGCTCAGCCTTTAATTCTGTGAACTTATGACACATGGAAACTGAATTTGCATTTTGATAATACATTGTAGGCTCTTCATTGCTTCCTAAATAGCCCCAGCTAGTCTCTTTGGTAGGAATATATTATTTTCATTGGGGAAAATCATTCTAGTATCTTTCAGTATTAGATTTTGTCAAGTTTAATTCCGAGAGCAAATCCCTTGAGATAACGGATGCCTGCTAATTCTAAATAGTATTACTTTCTTCTCTCAAAGAAGACTCCTAAATTCCTGTTAAGAGTTTTTGCATTCAAAAAAAATTGTATAATGAAATTGACAAGGCAAAATTATTTTTTCTTTACAATAGTAAAAAATCATTTGAATAGCCTTTTAAACATATATGGCATAAAAGGTCTTTCCATCTTGCACTTTTTACAGCTGTCTTCCATTAATTTGTTTTTCCTTAGTGTTAATTTTTCTTTAGTTGTGAACTGGAAGGATGCTAGCTCCCTCTTGTGGTAAAAGCTCATTTTATCATTACATAAATATCTAATTTAGAGGACAAATACTAGGTCAATTTAATTTTAAGGCAAAATAAAACAATTAATTGACTTATACTCAATCAGTTCATCACTGTTCAAAGACTGTCTCTGGAAAGTTTTATATATTCATATTACAAATGAATATTTTCAGTGTTTTTTTTTTTTTTTAACTGTATCCCCTAGTGAAATCTGGTTCATTTTTAGTCCCCTTATGAGTAGATGAGCCAAAGAGAAATTTAAATTTTGTATACAGGCACACATGGCTTCATTGACTTTGCCATTAGAAATTATATTATACTTCATTAAATTTGCTAAATCGTCACTTATCCAGAAATTATCCTACTTCTAAAAACTGGCTGGGGGAAAGAGATTTATTATAACATGCATGAATTGGTATAAAGATGACTGTTTTATTTTGAACTGGTAGGGTATCCTAGTCCATAGTGCAAAATCTAAATATAGAAAAATGTCAAGTTGTCAAGCAAAATTCCACTTGATGGAACTACTAATAATAGCTAATATTTATTAAGTGATTACTATATGGTTAGCATTTTACATATCTGAATAGTTTATAATACAGTACGTAGTATCCAGGTGATTAAGAACACTCAATCTGGATTCAGGCTGCTTCTGTCACTTCACGGGATGATCGTAGATTTCATAGCCTTAATTTCTTCACCTATAAAAAGTTGGGAGGAAGGGTGACATTTGTCTTGTCTGTCTGTCTCCCAACTCTTTGAAGTCAAAGATTATACCCATTCATTTTTGTATTCCCAACATGAAATATATATATGGAGTATACAAAAAAATAAGGCATGAGTTTGACCCATTAGGGGTTTATATACTATTTATGAAGCTCTTTCCCCAGGTTTTGTCCTAGGAAAAAGCTTTCCTGGGAAAAAGCTTATTGTGGCTTATGAGAGGTGATTCTAACGATTGATACTGCTGGGTAGCCAGGGGAAGTTTCCAGATTTACCAGTGCTGTTAGCCCCAGCCTGTTCCTTGTTCTTGATATAAATGGCATGATTCTGCTAGCTTGGAGAAAGTGAATGGATGGACCGGTAATATTTCTCAGCCACAGGTTGCTTATAACTTAGTTCAGAGAATACCAGAAATAAAGGATCTGTTTTGTCTGGTGTGGTTTAGTATTTTTAGAGGGTGAATTCCAGCTTGTTCATTCTGAAGCTAGTCTTCAAGAAGATGTGGACCACAAAATGTGTCAGGACTTTTAGATCTACTGAGGAAAGGAAAATCTATAGGCGCTAAAAAATGTATTATCAGTATTATTATCAAGTATTATCAGTTTTTTCCGTTGTGCTGTTTCATTTTTCTTCCTCTCCTAGCTGCCAAATGTATTGGTCCCTCTCCTAAAAAATGTAATCTGGGGATCTTGAGATTGAACTGCTGAGTTGAGCAGTACAGATATACCAAAAAAACAAAACAAAAAATGAAATAAACTCACTGGCTATGCTATTTACCTCTGTGGTGTGTTCGTCCCAAATAGCTTGTTCTAAATCCATAGTAACCATCTAGAAAGGAAATTTTTTTTCTTACACATTTTGCTTGGTCAGGCCTCTGACTATTTCCTGGTTGTTATGGTTAGGATACTGAGGATTTATGCTTGTGACACAGTAAATTCTTTCCCTTCTATTTTCATATTTGGTTAGCTAGTTAATTAAACTTCAACATAATTACATAATTCACTGTGCTCATTCTATAAAATAATTTAGCACCTTGTTTTTCAGAGCTGTCAGAAAGCAGAAGCAAAGAAAAAGTAATAAGATGAAAATGGAGACCACTAAAGGACAATCCATGAATCATACATCTGTTACAAGGAAAAAGAAAAGGAGAGAAAGAGCCCATCAATATCTTTGCTCTTAAATGTCCAGTGACTTGAGAATAAGAAAGATTTATAGCCCAACCTTTGATGCCATTTTCTGGAAGTGCCACACTGGACTTAAATTCAGCCGCTTTCAGAGGTGTGCAGCTTTTTAAGCTAGATAATAGGGGGGTGGCATTCGCTGGTTCATTCGCTGCCTCTCTGAAGACCTGGGGAGTTGTTCCATCCTCGCTGGTTTACTGGCTTCCTCAGCATGCTTTTTTCCTCTCTTTAAGGCTTTCCCAATCATATTATTTTAGCCTCGTTTATCTGAAAAATGGGCATACAGCATTCTTTTGCAGAAGAAAATGAATGTGAAAACCTGAGAAATTTTGTTTACATTAAACATAAAAGTATGTTAACATAGATATGAAGATATTTTATGTTAAATATTTAACAGTGATTTAAACCCCAGTTGAAAAGTACGATGTATAATTATTTTTTGACTGAATCTAAAGATGATGGAAAGAATTTTTACAAAGGCACTGTAAAGATATAAACATTATAATTATAGTTACATTATTATTAAATATTTATTTTCCAAGTACTGTTTTGTAGTTGTCCTTTGATGGTATAGAGTCACTTCAGCGTTTGTTGAATGAATGAAACATTTAGAATTTCGATGTGCTCTGTCATTTCAATGTCTTTTAACCTGTGCAGTAAGTTTCTCTCTTTGTAAACGTAGTTAGTAACAGAAGGCAGGATAGTCTGGTGATTAAACCTCTCATTCCCATCCTGACTCACACTTCCTGGCTGTATGGCCTTGGCCAGGTCACTCATTCGCTAAAAGCCCCAGTTTCTTCATTATTACAATGGGGAGAATAATAATTTTGCCTCGGGTTTGTTTTCATGATTAAATTAAATGAGGCTCATGTGCCTGGCTCTTAGTTACCCTCTGTCATGGGAGAGTTATGTTAACAAATGAAGCTTGCTGTTAGGCCTAATGGTAATCATCTGATGGTCAAATAGCATAGCACTGAAGGGAGTAGTTTGAACTCCCAGAACAGTTCATCTCCCCATTTCTCTGCTAGATATCTCACATTATCTTCTTAAGACTGAATCATTTTGGATGATGTACATTTGCATAATAACTTTTCTCTTGTTCCCAAACAACTGCTATAAAGCGGATTTGGAGGCATCTCTGCTTGTGGTTAGCTAGAGACCTGTGAGTAAAGATAGAGGAACTCCACCCCATCCGGTATTTAAATTCCAGGTTAGTTAGGACTGTTCGATGCATGATGTGGAATATTCAGGTATGGCCCAGATCAGAGTGGTAATGGTGTACAGCAGATGATATCACAGGATGAATTAAGTTCCTGGACTTCATAAACATCAGAAAGCTCTTGTTCCCTTTGTTACACAGCTTGCTGTGATAGGAGGGGCAGATTTGGAGGTAACTGGTAAGATTTGAACTTTGTAAAATCATTGTGACAGTTTTCCTGTCTGATTCAAGCATGGATAGGAAGATTGCCTGACTTTTACGGTGTTCACCATACTATGGTAAAATCTATTGAAATCTCTGACACTCAGATACCTGGGGGACCATGACTACTGAAGCATTGGGTTCTGATAGTCAACTGTTACTACCTTATTTCCTTAATTTTATGATACCATCAATTATAAAATACACCATTTGTTTTATCATAACTTTTCAGGGGGAAAAGTGAATAATACTTCATTAATTGTATATAGTAATTTTTAGATTACCTGATTTCAGAAATATTGAAATGCAAAAAAGTAAATCTTACTTATAATCAGGAATAATGCACTTTAAAACTTCACTACTTAGAAAGTTAAAAATAGGAAATTTGGTGATTTTGTACTTATATTCACTTAGTACTAATTTTAATGACTTAATCTCTTCTTTTTTTCAGAGAATAAACTAATGAGTAGGATATAAACACATGTCTCAGGTAGAATGTGAAGGGAGATGGGAATGAATTGTTCTTATTAGATATCTGCATATCTGAACATTAAGATTCCTACTCAAAACATCAATAGAAGAAAATTTCTGAAATTTGACAGATAAAACTTTCTAAGTTTTATAAAGGACATTTTTTATAAAAAAACTGCAGCTAAATTTCATTCTGCTTCTTATATTACAAAATTTAATGAAAAATAAAGTCTTTTTGTAGGCCCTCAATGACCAGATTTGAGGTTTTCTTCTTTAGTATTATCTTTAGTATTTTTATTTAGTGTATCGGACATTAGTCCGATACTTAGACTAATTTATATCCCCAGTATGCCCCATTCTTTTCATCCTATGCCATCCTACTTGGAATATGTCCCTCTTTATCACCATCTACTAAAATCTTATGGAGCCTTCAGGCCCTGGCTCAAGTCCCATTTTCTTTTGGGAAATCTTCCATGAGTCTGATACTAACCAATACCTTCTTCTTTGAACCCCTTATCGTTCTATACCACATTTGAGGCACTTTCATGTATTATTCCATGATTATTTTTACAGATTTTATTTCCCCCAAAGATTTCAGTTTCTTAATGTCAGAACCCATTTTATCCACTCTTACATCTCTTGTGCCTTGTATTAATAGGTGCTCAATGTGATGAAAGAATGGAATTTTCTAGAGACTTTGAGATGACAGGCATGCCTGAGATATGGAGAGAACTTGCTCTTTTCTGTTTCTTCTACAGACTGGAAAAAGGAAAACAGATTTAAACAGTATTGGGAGAGATTTAGACTCAATATGAGGATTATCCTAACACTGAGGTTTTAAATGTGGGGATGGGGTGGGATTGACTACTATGTGACGAAGATTGGTAGTCTTATCGGCAAGTCTTTCAATTTAGAATAATTCAGCTTTTTTTTTTTTTTTTTTTTTGAGACGGAGTCTCGCTCTGTCACCTGGGCTAGAGTGTCCTGGCGTCAGCCTAGCTCACAGCAACCTCAAAGTACATGGTAGTGCATCTCTTGCCAGTGAAATAAAAATGTATGTATATGGTTTTTCCATTTTATACTTCTTTTAAGATACTTAAATCATGCCCTGAATTAGAATGACTTTATGTACTTGCTTGGCCCTGTACAGATTAGAACCTTGTTGATGGCAGCTGCCTGTGGGCATCATTGTTTGCTCACTGGGGCTCCTAAACTGTGCCTTACACACGGTGATATCAGAGATTACCAGCTGCATCAAGTATGACCTCAGTTAATGGGAAGTGGGTGGCCAGGCTAACACATTTCTTCACCCTCTAGGGAGTAGGTGCCCATGAATACCAACTGAGTGAATGGAAATGCCATTTAATATACTGCTTTATGCCTCAAAACCCTAACTGTGCTATGTAAGAAGCTAAAACACTTAGAGCTGCCTAGGTAAGAATGGCTTCCACAAAATACAAAGGAAAATCCAATTTTACTTATTTGATGTGATTTTAATTGGACTGTTAGGATATGGGTTAAATTACTAAAGGGTCAGCTAAGAAGGTCATTGCAATAAAGTGAAGATAAGATCTCTACTATTTGATTTCAGGCAATTTAGTATAAATGTTAACTCAGCAAGATTGAGGAAAATAGCACTAAAAGCGAGCAAGAAGATCTCAGACCTCTGAGGGGTAGGTTTTACCCCATTAGCTGGACAGTTACAAGATTCCCAAGCTGGTTAGCTGCTTGATACCACTGTAGACTAGAAGGGTGTAACAGTGATCTCGAAGAAACTAAGCCTGAATGGATGGGCTGGTTTCTTCATCTGCAAATGTGGCGGCAAGGAGTGCGGGAACGCTAGATGAAGTCAACCCAAACATCTGCATGCTTAAAGAAGACAAAAGGAAACAAAGGTTGCGCTCTATTAACTTTACAGTTAATACATGAGCCAGGTAAATAAGAGAAATTCAAAGCACTTCTAATCCTACCACCCAGAGATAACTGCTATTACAATTTCCCTGTCTATTCTTTCAGAGACTGGTTCTTGCATAAATAGATATCAGACAGACATGCTAAAATTTCTCCCACAAAAATGGAATTATAAATACATTCTGTGTTGTGTCCTACACTTTTTCATAAATATATTGTAAAACAGACCCACACTTTTTCATAAATACATTGTGAATATCAATTTATGTCTACAATAGTGTTCTTCAGGATGGATATATTTTAAGAAAATTATTCTGCTATGGTTGGACATCCAGGTTGTTTGCATTTTTTTATGATTGTAAACAACTCTATGATGACCATGCTTATAACCAAATCTTTCCTAATTAGGATAAATGCTTATTTATTTCATATTAATAATTAATTTATAATTACTACAAACACTTGTATTATAATGCAAGTGCTATTACTATGTTTAACATGTAATAGTTATATATTAATGTATATTACTTACACATATGGATACTGGTTCTGTAGCTCTTATTAGAGCTTCTTTCTTCAAATTGAAGTCACATGAGTTAGTCTCTGGATTTCTTTCCCAGAACAGCAACTGAAGTGGTTATGGGAGACAGACAAACAAAAACACCATAAATCTATACACTTTAGACTCGTTCTGCCAAGATGGGCCATCTCCCATCTTGTAAAATGGGCTTCATACTTCAAACTACCCCTTTAAGTAGTTGTGATTGATTGTTAGGTTGAATATTGTTGATTGTTTGGGCAACATCACCCCAAGCCTCCCCATCGAGAGCCTACCATGGGATTTGGGGGAAGGATGACTGACACCCTCTCTAGCTCTTGAGAGGGGGTGCATGTCATCAGGTTAGACTAATCAGCATAAGTCTATCACCCTTACCAGCAATTGATTTGCGGCTAGGCTTGTGATGGGGGTGGGTCTAATCACAGTGAGCCTCAGGACTTTTGTCTGCTGGTTGGTGAAAAGGGTTTCATTCTCTGAATGACAAGGCATGTAGCTCCAGTTGCTGTTTGCAGTCTTCCAATGACAACAGAGGGAGCCAGCCTTATGATGATGCTGGGTCCCTGGTGACACCAAATTGCTGGCTCTAGTCTGCCCTGAATCTAGCCTACTGCTGGACACTTAAAATACATTCTAATTATTACTTGTGCCACTTTGAGACAGGTTTTTTGTGCCCAATGAATGCAACTGTGGTAGAGCAGAGAGGTTCTAACACCAACCATCTACATTTACTTCTTTCCAGCAAATTTACAATTTGCTTATTTTGTATGTTTTGCCTATTTTATGACTTCAAAATAGACCTTTCAAAATAATAGCCTTTCACATGGCTTAGATTAGGCACATCCCATACAACTCCATCTTCCATCCCTGTACACTGGGA